CAAGTCTGTTCTAAACGTTCCTAAACATATTGATAAACGTTCTTAGCTCCACTTACCTCTGCTTCACCAGTCCATAATTCTTTAAGAATTTTCATGGGTCCACGCACTGTGCGCCCATACAACAGTTCAAACGGTGAAAAAACCTGTACTGGCTTGAGGAGTTTCCCTATATGCAAATAGGAGTGGATCGATATATCTGTCCCAATCTCTAGGTTTTTCTTCGCACATTTTCTTCAGCATAGCTTTCAATGTACCATTAAACTTTTCACAAAGACCATTACACATGGCATGATATGGAGTTGTAGTCATGCTGCGAATTGAAAGCAACCTACTTACCTCTTTATTATGCCTGAAACGAATTGAGATCCTTTTGATCCGTTAAGACTTCCTTTGGATAACCTAACCTGGAATACATGGATAGTAGTTCTTCTGCAATGGCTTCAGTTCCTATCGTAGTCATAGGCGCTGCTTTTGGATATCTTGTAGCATAATCTGCAAGCACTAAGATATATCGATGACCTCTATCTGTTGTTGTCTTAATGGGTCCAACTAAATCTACCGCTACCCTTTGAAATGGTTCGTCAATTTTAGGAAAATTTCCTAATGGGACTTTCGTTTTCCTACCTTTAGGTATGGTCCTTTGACATATGTCGCACGATTGACAATACCTGGTCACATCGGCTAGCATTCCTGGCCATGTAAAGTTACTCATTACCTCGTCACTAGTTTTCTTAGATCCCTGATTACCACCTAGAATAGATTCATGAGCTATTCTTAAAACATGTTCTCTGTAAATGTTTAAATGTTTAAATGTGTTCCCAAATTATATCTTGGGAGAGTTAAATTCTCTATTATAGATAATACCATTGAATTTGACATACCTGTGGGTACTTCCGTTATTACTTACTTTCTGTTCTCCGCTTTCGGCCAATTGTCTGACCTTTCTAAGAGTTGGATCTTCACTCTGCTGAAGTCGTAACATATTTGCAGTGACTTCACTGATAGGATAAATTACCTTTAACTGCTTCAATGGTTTATCTTTTGATTTGGTTTGACTTCTTGTCTGTATGGCAGCTTAAATGTTTTGATCGGAATGAAAAGGATTCAATTCATTAGAATTACTTACCTTACAGTTAGTTTCCGATTCATCAACTTGAGTCTTTCCCCAATTCAAGTCTGGATCAGTAGGTTCTCGAACACCTAAAATATTTCCTAGTATTAAGTCATATACCGGATTGTCCATGCATACAGCTGAAACATGACCTAAAAGTATGGAGTGTCTATAAGTATTGAAGCTGTGGGGAAACGTCTTACCGTACCATCGATGAGAATACACGTCTTGAATTCTCCAGTCATCTGGTTTGGTTCTACATGTTTAGTTTTAACAACAACACCGCTGCATCCGCTATCACGAAGTATTTCACCACATGGTTTCCAATTATACCGTGTGTTACTGGCATACCGCTTTCATTATGTTTGCATGCGGCTGTAACTTAATTAAGAACAGTTAGTTTGTGACCACAATCTAATGTGAAAAACCCTTTCTTACTTGCCTGATACAAATGTGGATCCGATTTTACCATCATAAATGCTCCTGTGTCGGAACGTTCTTTAGGTGGTACCTTTACACATTCCTCTGGTCTCGTATCAGTCTGGATACGTTTTATTATCACGTTATTTACCACGTCGGTTAAGAAAGCAAGAGTTTGTTTCTATGTACAATCACGAGCGTAATGTCCTTGCTTATTACAAACATAGCATATTACAGATGTACGTTTACTCTCCCTACCTTGACTTTGTGTCTTACCTCTGTGGTATTGGTGTGAGGACTTGTTATCATAACGACTGTGATCTCTTGGAGGATTATAAGTTTTGTTAGGTTTACTTTCCTTACCTTTTAGCTGGCCGGGATACCAACATTTATGTGCTTCAATATACTGGTCAGCCAGTTTAGCCATTTCTTGAATACTCTTAGGTTCCCTTTCTTTTAGAAATGTAGAATGTTCAGTACTACAAGAATTTAAAAAAATTGTTCTCTTAGTATTGATTCCTGTAATTTTTTAAAATCAACTTTTTCCATGTCCATCCATCATTAAAAGTAATTATTAAGTTTAGTTACAAATTTAGAACCTGTATCATCTTGCGAAGGTTTAACTTCACGAAATTTCTTACGAAATCCATCAGCGGTAAGATGATAAGCACACGTAACACTGCCTTTTTTTACCTTAGCATAATCCATAGCATCTTCAGTGGAGAGTGTGGAATATTCAAATAATGCATTACCTTGTAATAAAGCTGCAGGATTAGTAGCCCAATCAGTTGCTTTATCCCAACCCTGCATTTGAGCAAATCGTTCAAATCTATTAAGATAAGCATCTACATCATCTTTATCCTGATTAAAAGGAGGTAATTTCGGAGCTTTACCCTTATGTGTGGGAGCATTTCCCCCATTCCCTGGTTGTACTTGGACTTGCGCTTGGGCTTGTGCCTGTACTGATCTAAGTTCTTCGATTTTTAATTGCATTTCTAATTGTTTTTCTAAACTTTTTTCTTTCTGCTTCTCTAAACTGTGCATCAATTTCTTTCTGTTTAGTATCAATTGCTCTTGTGTAGCTCTTTGATCTCTTTCCTCATCCCTTTCTACTTTTAACCTATCTCTTTCAGATTCTATGAAATGTTTAAGTTCTTTTAAACCATGCCTTTCACCAATAACCATATGTTTCTCTAATTCTAAGCGCGTAGCCATATTGACAAAAGTATGGGATAAATTCAACTGCAATTTTACGCAAAGCACAAGCAAGATTTCGAAGACAACACCAGTAATTAAGGCAGTGAATTTATACGTTATGTCAAAACAATGAACAGAATATCAATTACTTGCCCAATAACTGCAATAATTGCACTAGGATCGAGTCGCCGAACTGGATATATATATATACATATATATACATATATATACATATACATACATATACATACATATACATACATATACATACATATACATACATATACATACATATACATACATATACATACATATACATACATATAAGTCAGCATGCTGCTGTCTGGGTAACAACTAGTATATATCTGTGTACATAGCTTAGTCTTTCCTTATTGTTATTCCTGTATGTTCACTAACCGCGAAGGCTACTCAACTAAACCCAAATACTGTACATGCCGATAGGGTGATGTATGCAAATTCAAGCTTCAGCTATGGACATTATTGTGATTGGCTAGATAAGCATATGCACGTCTGCAAAAGCTTAGGAATCGTTCTTTCCGCCAAAATCTATTGCGGACGTAAGATTCCCAATTGTGCTAAGCACAGCAGGGTAAATTTCAGCGGACTGATTTTGGCTTATGTGGACTACATTTGGCAAGTATGAGGCCAAAATCAGTCCGCCGGACCGATTTTTGCCCCGGAAAAAAATTTTCCTGCCTATAGAAAATTCAAAAGTAACCATCTTAACCCTCAATATTTTTGATAAATTAAAAACAAATGTTTAATTATTGGAAGCATGTTTCCCAAGATAAAAAAACCAAACTTTCTTTTAAATGTTTTTTTTTTAATGTTTAAAAATATGAGCGAAGTAATTTTATTAAGAAATTGATTATAAACATTTTTTTTTATTTGAGGCTGCATAATATAGTTTCAACACAAATTTCTCTCGTGAGAAATACCACTCTAATTGGCTTACACTATAGATTGTTAAAGCCAACGTTTAAATTTGAAACACATTTAATTACAATGAATACAACGATGCGGGAACCTTAAGTTGCCTATATTGGAGAGCCGAATATTTACCAAAAAATCAAACCCTGCACACTTTGTAATACACAATATATATGATGACATTTACTCTACAGGGGTGGATCCAGTTGGGGGGAGGGGGTGGGTAACACGTTTTGACACTAATTTTTTTAAATTTCAAAGCATATCAGTGTTATGTGTTACCTATTCTGAAACTGTTGTGCCCCCCACCTTTTGAAAACTTCTGGATCAGCCCCTGTTGTGTGTTAAAATGAAACAAATACGTTAAAAATACTTTTATACCCGCCAGAAAAACTTAACGACGATTACTGATTAAACACAGACTTGATCTGTGATAAATTACAATACAAATATTTATATTTGTTTTAATGCTTTCATGACATTCATTCTGTTAACGAGAATGGTGATGATGATGATGATGATGATGATTTCAATTCTTTCATGACATTGATTCTGCTAACGAGAATGATGATGACGACGGCAACTACGGCACAAAGGCATTCAGTTTTTATTTCAGTTCCACTAGGGCACCAGCAATGACAACTAGAGCACCAGTAGTAAAACTTTACTTAGGCCTATTCACGAAGTACAAATTAATAAATATAATGCTGTTTTTTTATTATGGTCGTCAGATACCTTATTTACAATTAACATAAATTACACAGTACGGTACATAATAAACAAAAGTTAAATAAACGCAGAAATTAAATAATATAGATACAAAACATAATTATTATACAGTACGCAAACGTCAAAAATTTACTTAAATAAAAGGAATTATCTATAGCTTACAAAGGCAAAATATATTATGAAAATGAAGAAAATCCAATCTACAAAAGTAATCTGTAAATTACGAAAAATAAATGTAAATTATAAATAAAACAAAGCAAGAAAACATTAAATTAATTATTTATACAATGTTTTATTATACTTAGTTTTCATTAATTATTAATACAAATGTGGTTCTTGAATATGCTTAAGTTGATAGAAGACTGTACATTGGGGCTTAATCTATTCCATTCGATAGCACTTTGGTATGAAATATTGAAAAAAAAAAAAAGTCCCATGCATTCAGTTTACCTTGATGTCAATCCGAAGGACGGGTACACAGCTAGTATGATACATTGGCATTATGCTTGTTAAAATGTATTTTCCTATTAAAATTCATAATTTATTCGATTGGTATTGACAAATTGATAATAAACTGTTTAACTAATTTTAGGTAAGATCATTCTTGAAAAAACCAATGCAAGGTGTCGTCCTCCAGACCTATGGAGCAGGCAATGGACCTAGTGACCGCGAAGAAATCTTGGCAGTACTTGAAGAAGCTTCTGACAGAGGAGTGCTGATTTTAAATTGTTCGCAGTGTATTAAAGGAGTCGTTTCAGATTCTTATGAAACTGGAAGTGTAAGCCCAAAAACAAAATCATTGTTCTCAGTTCAAATCCTATAAAATATGTAAGGCTTAATTTGCGATTTCTACAGTAATATGCTCAACTATTATCAACATCATCATCATCATCATCATCATCATCATCATCATCATCATCATCATCATCATCATCATCATCATCATCGTCGTCGTCGTCGTCGTCGTCGTCTTTATTATGATGTTATTCATCTACTTAACAGAGATAGAAGAATATTGATTCGTTCTCTTTATTTCCTTTTTCGTCATAGGCGTTAATAAAAGCCGGGGTAATCCCAGGAGCCGATATCAATCCTGAGGCTGGTCTGGCCAAACTCAGCTACGTTCTTAACAAAGAAAAAACAACGAACTGTCAGAAAATTTTGCTTCAACGCAACTTACGCGGTGAGATCCGAGTCAGTAAAGTGAATAATTTTTCACTTAAGGACTCAAAGTTTATTCAGGCGATCGTTGATACTCTTGAAATTGCGAACAGTCAGGTAGGCTAAGTTATTGTTTGATAATTTTACTAATAGACAATTCTTAACATATAGTATTGTCTGATTTGTTGCTATACTCTTTTTACGCTTTTGATTTTGCAAACCTAATGTAAAACAATAAGGGACAAATAATATAACTTTTATACTGCCAAGGCAGAATAAACCTGTGTTAATTCCGGGTTCATTTCCCATTTACAGCGAACGAAAAAGTCCAGGTTGCTCCCGAGTTGCCTCCCATATTACACCGCGGCCGTTACTTGGCAAAACAACGTAAATTGAAATTTTCACTTTTGGAGAAAAATAGAGTTAAAGTTTTCATGTTCGCAACTTGCAATAAATTTGTGTAACCATTTTGAAATTTTTCCGGATTGTACATCGTTCTATAGACATTGTTTTTATATATTATACAATTAAAATTACTACCGTTTGTTTATTGCAAAATTATTGGCAAGATTCACAGATAAGCCTACGTTGTTTTGCTTCAGGAACAATCAGGCTCGGTATTGAGTTAAGTGTGACATGTTTTTGGATTTTACCACGTTTTGGGCAATCACATGCCTTATCTAGATTGTTCATATTTCGCTGTTTAATATTGATTATACATATCAAAATACCAAATCCTATACAATGCCAAACCAGAGCAATAATTATATACATAGGCCCAGGTGTGAAAAAGAAAAGCTTTACGTTAATTTTTTGAACATAAAATGAAAAAGGAAAATGTGTATAACCTTTTTGTTTTCTTTCCACATTTTCATTAATTATTTAATTTACTGGGTGGGTCTCATGCTTGCGCGACCTCAATGTCATAATGAGAGTCTTCCAAATCCTTCAATTTCAATTTTCTTTTTTACTTTTTTGTAACTTGTTGGATTGAATAAATTGATTTGTGATTGTGATTGATCGATATCTAGCGGGCCTCCAGTAGAGAGTTTATCCTTTCTGCTAAATGTCGGTCGCAGTTAAAGTTTATATGTTTGGAACTTGGCAATAAATTGTCGTACCCTTTTAAAATTTTGCAGGATTTATATTTTTAGACAGCCGTTTGTTTATCGCAAAGTTATTAGCAATATTAACAGATACGTTTTTGTTTTTGCTTTGGAAACTTATCAGTCTCAGTATTGCGTTAAGTATGACATATTTTTTAATTTTATCACGTTTTTAGGAAATCACATGTATTATCTAGTTTGTTCATACGTCGCTGTTACTGATTATTCATAATATGAAAACACAATTAACCAATTGATTTTGCCTTCCAAATATCCATCAGCCCAAAACAATTTTTAAATTCTATGTATTAGCTAGCTTGTTCATACGTCACTGTTATTGATTATTCATATGAAAACACAATTAACCTAAAATTGGCACTTAGAGGTTTTATTCTGCCAAAATTGTGTTTCATGGCGGCCACTTTGAATCTTTTATTTATTTTTGTATTTTCACGATGAAGATGTATGTTACTGTATTTTATTAAATTTTTATTGCATTCCTTGAACTGAAAAACATAGGTATTGACACAAACATCATGGGATTGTGGGCACTTAGAGCTTTTAAACTGCCAAAATTTTGTTTTTTGGCGTCTATTTTGAATACTTTATTTATTTTTGCATTTTCACGATGAAAATGTATGTTATTGTATTTTAATAATATTTTATTGGATTCCTTGAACCAAACAACATAGGTATTGACACCAACATCATGGTAATGTGGCACTTACGTTAGAGCCTAATTTTAAACTGCCAAAACTGTGTTTTTTGGCGGTCATTTTGATTTTACAATTTTCGACGGGAACGGTTGGAGTGACGTGGTGGTTCCCACAATTTTTTGGAATCGGCATACTCAGAAACCCCCTAGGACAAAGTTTCATGCTTCTTTCCAGAAGTGAACGACTTGGCCAAAAAACGTCACATATCCGCCCCACTAGTAACTGAGTATGAAGTTGGTAAATATATTAATAATCTTAAAAACCAGCTCATGGTGACATAACCACCTAACTTATTAAAACTGCATCTCCAATCATACTGAAACTCCTAACACATATTATTAATATCTCATATCTACAGGCAATTCTTATTTTTAAAGGGGGGGTGCGGGGATGAGACAAGTGGCCATATATTGCTTATTTAACCTTTCCTGAGTTCGGGAAAAATACTTAAAAAATTCAAAATGCTGAGATGTAAGGATAATTACAGAAACAAAACATGATATGATGAGACAGGAAAATCAGGTGAAAACGAGGCTGATCACTTTTTTCAGTAGCTTGGTAGCATTTTCTAACCAACTCATTAATATTCAAGACAAGTCTGTCAATTAATTTTTGGCGAGCAGCTGATCGAAAAATCGACCCGACGATCGAGCGACTAGCCTAGATACAGTGTGAAGTCGTGAGTTTTTGTGATCGTTTACGTACCAGTTACAGAGAGACGGTTTAGTCAACGTCAATTCAATCATGCAGGAATAATTCAATTGAATTAATAAACGTATATCAGTCCGCTGACTTGACCTGTTTGTTTATAATTAGGCCTACACCTATGCCTAGGATTAGCACAGTCAGTGTCTACCCAGCAGCAGTAGCGCTCTCCTGTCCGGGACACTGCTCCAGTCCCGCAGCAGGTGAGTTCGCACGCAGCCTTATCCAGCTGACGGTGAAGATAGTAGGTTTCTACTACTAGCCTAGCCTAGACTTGTCATGCCATCTTTGTCACATTAATTGTGCTAGTGAATTTTTTTTCATAATAATAGACTTAGGCCCCTAGGCCTACTAATAATAGTATACTATAGGCCTGGTCCTATGAAAAACTGTCTAGGCCTAGGCCTAAATGTCTAAAAAATGCACTGTCTAAATAAAGGTGATGTGCTATAACACTACAGTATATCATCAGAGCCAACACCAATTCCTGTAACAATAAGATTATTATTGATATACTGTAGGCCTAGAAGCTAGACTATACAACAATAACGCCCCATTAAATAATAACATGATGCATATGTTACTCCAAACCTAACTTTCAGCTGTTGTTGAAATGTGGAATTCAAATAAAATATTATACATATATATTTTTGTAGGACAAGGTATGTGATAGGCCGAAACATGACACTCTCCTCACATACTGTAGGTATTTGCCAGTCGCCATGATGAGACAAACACCACAACATTTGCCATGAGTACAACCACCCAACATTGGCATCTACGAAAGAAGGTGGTACAAAGCATACAAGCACCCAGCAAGACGTTAGCAAGAAACACTCTGGTTGTTTGCTGAAACTTGTAATGAAAGCTATACACACAATTTAAGGTGAGCAAAAGAAAATTAAGTGAATATCTCATCACTGTTCAGCCAGAGTACATGAAACAAATATATTGGAGTGGTAAAAAAATATCAGCATGGTGTGTCAGTTTTATTAAGAAACAACAATAATACATTACACACTCGCCGACAGGAAGGCTTCAATCAAGTAATTAAAAAATCTGAAAATACTGTCAATTGATGAATACATACAGTATCTCAGTATAATATGTTATTGATAAAGCAGCAAATGCCAATGTTTGATAACATTTTTGATTTTTAACAAACCTGGTTTTGCATTATTGTAACTACTGTATTTATTCCTCAATAGGAGCAAATGACTGGCTCAGATGGATGTGATGCAAACAATTCCATCTGTGTGGACATGATGAAACGGACATGCCCAATCCATGGTTAGCAGAAGGTGGCGATGCTCAGAGCTCTGCAGCAAGTGATTGAATCCAAAATATTTCCAAAGAATTAAATTAAAATGATTTATCTAGTGATTTTTTTTTCTGAAGATATCCTGAAATGCCACACACTTAAGTTTTTGTTTTTTACACATCTGGTTTATATTGCAGCATCTGGTTTATATTGCATGCCAAATTTATAATAAATAAATAAATACTGTACCAGTATTACTGTACCTGTTTCACTTGCAAAATATCTTTAATATTATTACTGTAAATGGTATTATAATCCCATTCAATAGTAATCCTTTTGAAGCAAATATGTGACCCAGA